CTGCTTCTCCCTCTCCCACTCCCCCTGCTTGTGTTCCCTCTCTCGCTGTGTCTCTCTCTGTCAAATAAATAAATAAAATCTTAAAAAAAAAATAGATACAATTTAAAAAAAAAAAGATCTCCAGAGTTACATTTACTTGTGGTGGATTTCACTCCTTCATTTCTCATTGGCAAATAGAAGCCTAACAGTAGTCCCTTAAGTAACCCCAGGGTAAGTTATTGGACCCTCCTGAGCTTCAAGAATGTGTCTGTAAAGTGTAGTAAGAATTCCCAACACTTAAGACTGCTGTACAGTCCACTTGAGGAAAAAAATGTGTACTGTACCTATTATATTGCTTCACACAACACAAATGCAATAATTATTACTGTGATCATAATTGACGTTCTACTTTTCCCACATGGTTTTTGTCTTAATATATTTTATATTACAGTTCTTTTATTGATCATCCTACCATATGTCTTTATAAGAGAAATTTTTTAATATTTCAGATATCCTAGGTTGAATAGTACTTATTCTTAGAATGAAATAGGATTCAGGGGCGCCTGGGTGGCTCCGTCGGTTAAGCGTCTACCTTCAGCTCAGGTCATGATCCTGGAGTCCCTGGATCGAGTCCCGCATCGGGCTCCCTGTTCAGCGGGGAGTCTGCTTCTCCCTCTGCTTGCCGCTCCCCCTGCTTGTGCTCTCTCTGTGTCAAATAAATAAATATTTAAAAAAAAAAAAAAAAAAGAAATAGGATTCAGAATCAAATGTATTCTGTCTTGCATTTATATGTAGATATAAGTTCTAAAAAAACCTTTTTATTATAAATACGTAGTTGGGAGTGGAGAGAGTTTTAATATTGTAATGACATTCAGTCCTTTGAACTTCTTTCAAGTAATATGCCAAAAAATCACAGTGATCTATCATCAAATTATATTTAATGATTTACCACCTAATTTTTTTTGAAAGCAAAGGATTGAAAAATGCTGACTCACATAGGTTCTGTTACCAGGCATCGAAGCAGTGAGTATCTCATTGTATGAGCAACACACCAAAAAGATCTGACCAGTAAGTGTCAGATGCCCAAAAATTTGTATGCTGGTCTTTCACTTAGAGATACTTTATTTAAATCAATATAGTGAAAAAGGTTGAAAAAATAAGATTTTTAACAAACTTTAGCCTAAGATACCTAATAATAAAATGCTTTTATTCACATCCTCTTTTGTCAAAAAACCTTGAAGTTGTAGATTTAGTGCATTAAATTTATGGAAAAGCTTTGACATACAACTTTTTTTTTTTTAATATACTTGACACAATGTTACATTAGTTTCACATGTACAATATCGTGATTCAACAAGACTATACATTATGCTGTGCTCACGACAGGTGTAACTACCATTTGTCACCATACAATGCTTTTATAATACCGTTGACTATATTCCCTATGCTGTACCTACTCATTCCATAACGGAAAGCCCTAATCTCTCACTCCCCTTCACCCATTTTGTACATTCCCCCACCCCTTGACATATAACTTAATTGGCAAAGGCAGCTTTTATCATTCAAGCCCATCAGCCAAATCATTCTTACTTCCTAACTTTTGTTTTCCAACTCAAGTAAATGTGTTAATTCGCACTTATGAAAATCATACAAACCATTGAGAAATAAATTATGGAACACATCTTATAAGGTAAATTTGTAAAAGCCATAAGTCAAAATTAAAATCATGTAACAAATATAAATAAAAATTTATTTTAATAGCACATTATTAAAACAACATGGTAATGCTGTTTCTCATTACTGGATTTGTAATAAACCAATGTAATGTGTAGTTAGAATAATAAATTATGAAGTGAGAAGTATGGTAGAAAGCATAATATTGCTTCAGTAAATGTGTATGCATATATGAATCAAACAACGTTATTGGACTTTTAGGAACAATTAAGAGTCATGTAAAAAATCAGAAATAAACCTATTAATTTATGTAAATCTTAGGATTGCTTCAATATTTAATGTAGGAGAAAAATATATTATGAAACCAACTTGCATGGCAGTATCCTGTAATATTTGCTGCTGTTAACAGGGGTAGAAGTTATAACATTTTATAAGCTAAAATAAGATGAAGATTAAATAATTGAATTAAATATTTCTTTATGTGATTTTTTTAAAAGTTTATTCCTTTACTGAAGGAAATTACTTAAAATTTTTGTCTGTGGGTTTTACATACTTCATCTTCAAATGTTTGATAGTCCTAGTAAACATTTTGGTTATATTTTTTTAAAAAAAGAAAAATTGACTGTTGAGTGGAACTTTTCTTTCGAAGTGATAACAGACTGTCAATGAGAATTGAGAATAGTTTTGGAAGAAACATTGGGTATAGTTAAATACATGAACAAGCTATGTTGGTATTTGAAGCTCTTTTTCCTAAGTAGGGCCTCCTTCTGAAGGAGGCATTGTTTGATGATAATCAGGAGATAAATGAGGCAGGGTCACTCTGACAAACCCATTCTGCAGCATATCTGAAATCTGAATATTCTGACACCAGCCAAAGTACCCTATTTCTAAAGCCACTTCTCTCTTAATCAACTATATGTAATGGGGAAAGACCAGTCCCATACAAGTTTACTGCGCTTTCATTAATTACTGAAGGGGACTTAGCAAGATCAGGGATTTGATTCATATACTGAAATAGCATTCAGGATGGATAGGTGCTATTCTGAAAGAATTTGTGGGAATGGAGAACTCTGCATGATCATTCAAGGACACTTCTCAAACATATGACCAGAAGTTCTAGGAAATTAAAGATTAGGAGGTTGATTCCACTAAAACTGGGTATTCATGTACTCTGTGGCATGTCTTCTGGTATACTAGTGTGAATACCACTGGTATTTAGTAGCAACCTTATTTAGCTAGCTCTTGGGGGTTCACGTGTCTGTCGGTCCAGTCAGACAAACTATACAGTATTTTAAATAGGGGAACTTTAATATAAAATGTTAAACTATAATAGGAGAGTAACCACAAGATGTACAGAGAATTCTGAGGGACCCTAAGACTGAGAGCACATACTCAAGGAAGGACAAACTTGGAAGAGGGGCCACCTCCCTAGGTTGGCATTTAGACTTTGTTGGAAAGGGTATGGTTGCAACCCATTAGCTTGCTCTGGGTTGCTAAGGCCAGAACTAGGCACTCAGGAAATAGCAACTTTGCAGGGTGCGGACAAGCTGAGGCAGGCAGGCATGCAAGGAGAGTGCGGGTGCTACTGTGTTGTATTTCTTTCAGGAGGGCCACAGGAAACAGACCTCAAGAAGTTGGGGTGTAGACTTATGGCCTGGAGGTCACATATGTGTCAGGAAGCATATGGCATGATCACCAGGCTAGGGTTGCCAGAGCACTGAAGGGACTGCATGCTCTGTCCACACAACTAGGGCTGAGCCCTCTCCAAATGCCCCCTCCTTGACATCCCAACAAACATGCACAATGACAGGGAAAAAAGTTTACCAGAACCAGGAAGAGAAACTCTTTTCCTCCTACAGTGTTCCCCAATGCCCACTTCTGCCAAAGCTTTTAGCATCGTACTTAACTATAAAGAAGAAATGCTTAAGAGTCCAAGATTCCATTTTCACAAGAGTAGGTACTGAAGGGTACATTTTGAGCTAAAAAGCAATAATTTGATAACTGGTACATGACAGCATACCCTACAAATTTGAATAGAATTCACTTGACCAAGAGCTGTTCCTTTTAAGGAGAGATTTGAATAAATGGAAAAGTTGTATTTAATGCAATCATATGGAAAAATAAAGAAGCAAGAATAGCCAGGAAAATTCAGAAAAGGAATGAAATAAGAGAGGTACTAATCCCAAGAGATATTACACTATATTGTAAAGTCTTAATAAATAAGAACAGTGTAGTGCCAGAGCAGAAGCATACAGATTGGTAAATTAAAGTAGAAAGTCCAGGAATAGACACAAATACATAGGGAAATTTAGAATGTGACAAAGGTGTCCCCTCAAATCAATGGTAAAAAGAAAGACTAAAGTGCTGTTGGGGCAACTGAGTAGCCATTTTAAGAGTAATAAACTTGTGGGGGGAGGGGCAGGGGGGCACCTGGCTGGCTGTCAGTAGAGTATGTGACTTTTGTTCTCAGGGTTGTAAGTTCAAGCCACATGTTGGGTGTAAAGATCACTTAAAAATAAAATTTGGCGGGGCGCCTAGGTGGCTCATTCGTTAAGCATCTTCCTTCAGTTCAGGTCATGATCCTGGGGTCCTGGGATCGAGTCCCCAGGTCAGGCTCCCTGCTCAGCAGGAAGCCTCCTTCTCCCTCTCCCACTCTCCCTGCTTGTGTTCCCTCTCTCGCTGTCTCTCTCTCTGTCAAATAAATAAATTTTTAAAAAAT